GCGCCTTGCACGTCGAATGTCAGCTGCGCACCGGCGGTGTGCATGACATGTGTGTGAATTTCGCGCGCATTAATGAAATGGAAAGTGTAATTCTATTATGTTCCTCGGTGTCGGCGAGATGGCATTGTTTTTGTGCGCGCGCGCACCTGAGTTTCACACCGTCCTTCATCAATTCGCATCAACATTTCGTAAACTTCAGAAATAAATTTATTATCCGCGACTAAAAACGTCTAATTTACCCAAAAAAAATTATTTTATTTTATTAGTATGTTAACTTGTTGTTTGTCGCAGGTCTCATGTCATGAACTGTTATGCGATGAGTGGATTACGCGTCGCGATTGTGAGCGCAAACAGGAAATATCCGCTAATTTCACTTTCGAATAGTTTCGACAACTTATTTAATACTCGGCATTGAGGATGCGCTTGTGCTTTCTTTGATACATCTGCATCGATTGGAATAAGTCATAAAAATTGTTTGAATTTAGCGCAATCAATAAATTACTACCGAAACGATGACTAATTATCGTCTTAAACAGATGGTGAAATTAACCAAGTGTTGAAAATGTTCCTTTCATTATTTTTTTCCTATTTGAAAGTGCGTAAAAGTAAACGTAAACACATGATTTGTGTAATTATTCAAATTGAAAATTAAAAGATCGCCGCAGGAGGAAATTTATTGCAGTGATTTATGTCTCATTCATCGAGTCAATCAGCAACGAACTGTGAACTCGGTGTTTCCTTAGTACTTAAACGCAATTATGCAAAGTACTGACCTTTAATTATATTTCGTCGCAATGCATAACATAATAGTAATAAAATTAAAGCTTTGCGGATGAAAAATCTAAAGATGCGACATTTCCTTCAGAAATACGAGAATAATTATGATTTAATTCATTTGTGAGTCGAGGAAGACATTTTGAATACATTGCAGATGATTAATTGCATTAAAATAATTTCACCTTTTGTCGCGTGTGAGTTGTTGTTGAGTTTGTTGTGGTTCAGCGTGACATTTGCTAGATTAGCTGATTATCGCATCTTTATACTTCATAAACTCTTCGAACATTAGAAAATTGTTTGCTTAGGGCAATAGTTGCTAATGAGCGTCACATCGTCGCGCCGCGCGTCGTAAAATGCTTTCGTAAATGTAAAATGACTTCAAATTATTCAATTGTGCGCAAATTTTGATCATGATGGTGAAAATTTAGAAATCGAAATTCGGCCCGACCCGAAACTAATAAATTTTTACCTTTTTTGCGTTTTGGCTTGTGTCGTAGGTGGCGAATTTCTCTCCGAGACGTTTTGCTCGTTGTCACCTCTCTCGAGTTATGTCTTCTTGGTGTAACTTGAGACGAGTTACCTTTTTTTTTGTGTGGTTGCGTGTCATCTGTGTAGATTACGTGGTTTAAAAAAAAAACAACACACATTCATCTTATCTTTTGCCCATGGAGCGCGCGGAGAGAAAGGAAATGTCAAAATGTATATGGACAATGCGCGTCGAAGGCGAATGATGACCTCTTGAGTCCAAAATGGCTGCGAAATGAGGATCATGCATAAATTCAGCGAACAAATGATGCATAAATCAAGCGCCAGCCGGTTGCTTTTCGTAACTCTTGCGACGCGTGTTTTGTAATCGTTTAACTGCTTGAAAATTTCGGTGCAAGAAGGTTAAACGTCGTTGAGACTTCTGTTAAACAATGTTTTTGTTTTTGTCTGTTGTTCCATGTTCACGCCTTATGTTTAAATTCATTTTGATTTTCCAAACAATAAAATATACAGACATTAAAAGGAAACAAAACGGATTGTTTTGTGTGGATGTTTATGTTCGGTTTCAAACATGGCCGCGCCGTCACTTCTCGTTTGTTTACAATCAATTTAATTAGCATAACTTTTCGCGTGTCGTAATTAACTTATTATGCCTGCGATTAATTAAAAATTAAAGTTCCCGCGACGAATAGAAAGAATTGCGAAGCGTGCGAACAATGCTCCCGTGTGTTCGCCTTGATTGCGTTGATTGTTTCGATTAGCTTCGTCGCGGGGAAATTTGGAGAGAAAACGAAATATGGCCGACGGCACTGACATCGTTTGCAATTAACATTTTTGTAATCGTGTAATCGTAACCGAAATAATTTGTAAATCGGAATTGTTCTCTATTTTTATTATGCTGGCAAAAAACAATGGAATTGGTGTGTGTTGCGATGTTAAATTATGGAATTTGATTGTTTCAGGTTTAATTCGATTAACGCAGCAAGCATGAAGGTGGTGCTGCCGATGGTCGTCTTCCTGGCGACCGCCACGGCCGCCATGTCCCAACAGCACGCGCTTTTTGTGCGGCGGGATGCGTTTAGAAACGGTAAACAATCAGAGGATGATACCAATCATGCCAAATCAAAGTTAATACTAAGAAACTAATAATTGTTTTGATTTAGTGTATATATTTTGTATATAATAGTCTAAGTGCTACTAACTGTTATTAATCTGTACATAATCATCATTTACCATAGGAAAATCTAGGGTAACGAGGCAAGCGCCGCCAATAACTAGTGCCGATCAAATGGTTCAGAATATTCTGCAATGGCTGCAAGGAGTGTACGCGCAAAACAGCCGAAAGAGTATGTTCTATTCAATCATTTATTAATACCAAACATGTGTCATTTATATTCATGATTGTACAGTTTTATAGTTTTATAATTATTGTGTTGTTGCTGTTGCATTTGATGTTGTATTAATTTGTGGTCTGTTTTTAGTTCGTCAGGGAACATTCAGAGAGTATTTGCCACCTACAAACACTCAAAAGCCACGTCCTTTTGAACCGAACGCAGGTGGCACGGGTGCATCTTCAGAGGATAACTTTATTGGATATCCTCCTGCAGGATTTAGCCCGAATCCACCTTTTACCGATAATGGCGGTGATAATAACGAGGGGTACACTCCACCTAAGACGCCGTACCCTACACAGAAGCCTTCTGGTTTTACTTCGAGCAGTGAAGGATACCCACCGGCTGGGTCTACTCCACAGCCACCTTTTACTGGGTATCCACCTGGGACACCGACGGAAACACCTGGAACTCATCCGCCTACACATCCTCCGCCAACTCATCCACCAACTAATCCTCCAGAGACACCCGCTACACATCCACCAGCGACTAATCCTCCAGCAACTTATCCACCAGCTACACATCCTCCGGTGACGTATCCGCCACCAACACATCCTCCGCAAACACCACCAACACACCCACCACAGACACCTCCAACACATCCACCACAAACACCTCCAACACATCCACCACAAACACCTCCAACACACCCGCCACAAACACCGCCAACTTACCCACCTCCAACACATCCACCAACTCCACCACCAACGCATCCCCCACAAACACCACCAACATATCCACCAACACACCCACCACAGACACCTCCACCACTTACACATACACCAGCCACACATCCACCAACCACATATCCTCCGCCTGGTCATATTATTTCAACTACTGAGCAACCATTCACCTCTGAACCTCAAGCACCTGGTGAACTACAACTGACTGACGCACCTGGTTCTGAACCTGATACAAATGATCAGACCATTGGTCAAACCACACAACCTCCAGTGGCTGGCACCACAGATTCTAGCAATGAAGTCAAAACAGACAACGAACAAAGCGGCACAGACGATAATGAAGACCTGAAGCATCCACCACACATTCACGCTATTGATGTTGAGTGCGCAAAGGACATGATGACGATCAACATTGAATTCAACCGTAAATTCGATGGTGTTATCTACTCCAAAGGATACTACAACAATCCAGAATGCAGATATGTGACTGAAAACTCAGGACAAACCAAATTCAGTTTCACAGTGAGTTTAAACAACTGTGGAACTGAATTCATCAACGCTTTTGATACGCAAGGTCAATCATATTTAGAAAACGTGCTTGTATTGCAAAATGAGGCTGGTATCCAAGAAGTTTGGGACACAATTAGATCAGTGAGGTGTCTCTGGGAAGGAAACCTAAACAAAGCATTGTCTGTAGCGCTTAGCGTAGGAATGTTAACACAGGAAATAGTCACATTCAGCGGAGACACTGCGATGGCTAAACTTGACATACAACTTGGCCGTGGACCATTCGCACCTCCAGCGAATGGACTTGTAAAGATTGGTGATACAATGACACTTGTGGTTTCAGTCACTGGTGATCCAGGTTTTGATATTCAAGTCAAAGATTGCCGCGCGAAGGATTCCGAGGGTGAACATTCTGTAGCCCTCACAGACGAAAATGGCTGCGTGGTGAAGCCTAAACTTTTCGGAGCATTCCAAAAGACAAGGAATACAGGAAATACAGGTGCTAGTATTATTGCGTTTGCATTCTTCAATGCGTTCAAATTCCCTGATGTTATGGATCTGATGATTGAGTGTAACGTTGAGCTGTGCAAGACAGATTGCGAAGTATGCCCTGAACCCGATCAGAAACTAGAACCAGGCCGGAGGAGGCGAAGACGTGACATTCGAAATCAAACCATTCCAGCTTTAGGTGAGCCAGTGCGAATGGGTAAGACACTGCGAGTGATTTTGCCTGAGGATTTAAGTGACGGTGAGGAAATAATCAACCTTAGCCAGCGGCAGGAGGTCTGCTTGTCGACGCACGGTTTTGTCGCGTCGTCTGCCATCTTGATCTCGCTGTTGACCTGCAGCACGCTCTTCAGTGCGTATCAGTGGCATAAAAACCAACGACTATTAAACAAGTATTGAGGAAATCAACTGGGAGCAGCGAGGTGCGTTTTAATATTGAATGCGCTTGGAGGAATCTCGCCGTAGACTTAAATTATTTCAGATTTATTTTATTTTTGTATGATCAGACATACTGCCCATAAGAATCGAACAACTATTTATGTAAATATAGGATTATTATATTAATTATAAACAAACGTAATGTTGTAATATCGAAATAAATATTTTGTAACATAAACTTGTCTTTATTTGATATTTTAATCAGCAGATCTTTGCTTAGGAGGTTTATTAAATGTTAATAATGATTTTAATATTACAAAAATGTAAGGAATTCATATCTATACATATTCAATGCGACATAATGCAACATAACTAATTTTGGTGTTTAGGTCATGATAGCCCACAGGCCCTGCATCACAATCAGCACAAGCTAAATATTTTGTTGTTCCTACGGTATTGGAAAAACCAATATTATCAAATGTGAACATATCATCCACTTTCCAGAAGGCAGTTACTGTTTCAGTTATTGTTGAGGCACTCTTCACATTTTGTGTTATTGTAGGTAGTTCATGCTGAAAAAAATCAACACAATATATAAGTACTAATTTGGTAATTGTAGATCAAATGTTACCTCTCCTTCTTCAAAGTTGGCTGCAGCAGGTTTTAGCATAACTGATGTGCAATATTTGCATTTAATTGACTTAGCATTTTTTCCATCTTGAACTTGTGAAGAGTAATTGTTAGACATTTCGTTGTTTCTGAATAAATGCAAGAAATGACTGTGGCAAAAGTGCTGGCAATAGTTTACAGCCGGTATCGCCCAAGTAAACAACACCTTAGCTATAGTCACGTCAGGTTATGTATATAACCCAGTAGTCCCAGTACGCCCATTGCAACATATGATTTGCACTTGGGAATACAGTGATTTATCGTGAAATAATAAATCGAAACATCTGCCAAACTTTTGTGGACAATATTCTTAGTGCTGAACATTACTAGGATGAATTACTGTTTTATTTAGAAGAAACAAAAAGTGAGTATTTCTAAATCAGTCATAGATGGCGCGTTGTTGCAGTTTTACCGAATACTATGTACAGTTGAAAACGCATGGCATGCACCATGCATCCTGCACGGTCGAGCAGTACCTGTGGCATGCATTGTTTCCTTCATGATAAATAAATAAAAGCGCGTTACATTCGAGCGACCATCACCGGAATTTAGTGATAATGAAAGTGTGTAGTGCTTAGGTGATCATTGAATGTGATATCTTCCTAAATGTAAATTAAAAGGTTCCGTTTACATCCAGTTCGCGAGTAAGTGAACGAGTGCGGTCAGCCGTTGGCTGGTGATATCGTTTGTGTATAAATTTTCATTTCAAATACCGGTATTTTTCTGTATGTGCTGGAATTACCGAAACATGAGAAAGCAGCAGTGACTATAAACTTTAAAGAGTTCCAAAAAGGTTCAATACAGGTATATAGATGTATTTATTAAATTGTTTTGTGATTTATATGGATTTTACAATTTTGTATGAGTTTTACATGTTTCGCCCTGTGGGCATCGTCAGAAACTGACGAAACTGTCATACAAAATTGTAAAATCCATATAAATCACAAAACAATTTAATAAATACATCTTATAAACATGGACTACGTATTCAAATTAGAAAATAATAAAACAGGTACCTATATAGTTTGAGAAATAATGTTTTATGTAATACTCAATATTCCTTAAAAGCAAAAATATGTTATATTTTGCTCATTTATCAATTAAAAAAAACATATTTTATGAAACTATTTACTCTTATTGTTTTCACTTAATTAAATAGATAACCAATTTAATGCTTAATTAAGTTAGTGATTATTTAAAATATCCGCTTATCTGTTGAAAATTTGAAATCTTGGTTAAAAGTTGATAATGTAAATTGAAATTAGTTAGTTTTGATTAATGCTCAAATATTTTTATGTAATTCTTGTACGGTTGAATTTAAATACGAGTACATTACATACAAGTATTTGAGGTAATTTTCAGGAATTCTTAGTTAAATTTGAAATTTGATTTTGATAAGTTTGATTTATGGTTCTCAAGAGACTTTCCCAACTTGTTTTATATTTTATTTTGGCTAATTGGGGTGTTTTAGTGGATCCCACTAATAAAATTTGTTCTTGAAAGGGTGGCGAAAGTTCGTGGAAGCGCCCTCTCAACATTTTGCACCGACTATAAAATAGAGAGGAACAAAATCTGCCACATTCAAATTTTTGTAACAGAACGAAGTCTGTTGGGTCCGCTAGTTATGAATAAAACAGTAATAATTAATAGTTAATATGAGAGTTACCCTGAGATAGCAATATGATAATTGTAAACGTTACTACTACACTTGATACATATACCATAATGATGGTCGAAAACTGTGTAGGGAGTGAGAGAAGTCTTATTGAGACCGACTTCAGTCTCATTCCTTCGAGCGGGATGAAAAAAAATTAAATGACCAAACTGGCTATAAAAATATAGGGGTTGGTGATAAAAAAGTAAATATTTAGAGTTGTATGTATTTTTTTAATGCCACATTATATAAAAATAGAAACAAAATTTTTTGTCTAAAATTTAAAAAAATAAAGGGTGAATTTGTCCAAAATTTTATTTATACTTTATTTCTCCATTAACATCTGCTCAATCTCTCAACGTATCAATTACTGGCATTTCCAAAGGTATACTAACTTCTCTTAACTGCACTACCTTTCTTCGAATTCGTAAATTTGTAGTTTTCAGCAGATGATTTTTACATCTACTCGTACCTTCCACATCGTTTCTCCCACTTTTTCTACCCTAGCGTGTTACTATAACATTTTATTATAAACAGAGTAACTCTAGACGCACCATAGTAAGTTTTGAATATTTTTTAGTATTTGTGTTTAGTGCACACAAAAACATGGCTACATCTACCTCACGAACGAAGATAGTGGAACAACTCAACACCGAGGAAGAGTTGCGAGAGCAGGGAGTACCCCGAGCCATCCACTTTCTGCAATGGACCAACATACAGATAATTGAATTCCTTGCTCGCAATCGTCTCATACGCAATACGCTTAACTGCGATGCATGTCGATGCGCGCGTGTGTTCGTCGTAAGAAGTTCATCGGTCGATGGCTTCATCTGGCAATGCAAGAGGTGCGGCGCGAGGAAAACAATTCGTGTGGACTCATATTTCGAAAGTGACAGGATCCCTTTGCAGACTATAATGACGATTATGGGCTACTGGGCATTCGGCCAAACTATAGAGACCATCGCACGCGAAATGAACGTTTCAAGAAACAGTGTTTTAAAATGGGGTCAGAAGTACCGCCAAGTTATTCAAGCTTCACGATTGCAGAACCCGCCTATATTAGGGGGATACAATGAGGATGAGGAAGAGTTTGGTGTTGTGGAGCTGGATGAAACACATTTGGTCAAAGAAAGTTCCAGACCTGGCCGAGAGCAGAAGGATCAATGGCTGTTTGCAGGGATCCAGCGTGAAACAGGCAAGTGTTTCATCATGGAGGTGCCTAATAATAAAGCCACCACACTACTCCCAATTATTAAAAAGTAAGTAGGAAACATTTTGTTAAGTTGTTGGAGAAGATTGGGGAAGGTATTGGGATAAGACTTGTTATGAACATGTATATTTTCAGACATGTACTTCCTGGCACCGTTATAATGACACACGCAAGTAAAGCATATGAAAATTTAGCCAATCAGGATGGCGGCATATACATGCATCACATAGTTGGAGACAAAGCTAACATTGTCAGCTTGCAGCATCCCTACATCCACACCCGGGGGGTAGAAAGGCTCTGGTCGAGCCTGAAATTGTTGTTACGCCTCCGAAATGGTTTTCATCGGCAAGGGTTTGCGGAACACCTCGACGAGTTTGCCTGGAGGCAGGAGACCCCGACTCCGGAGTTGTTTACTGAATTTCTAATTATGGTTGCAATCACTCATAGAATACCTAAAAGTGAAATATATAATTAAATACTACTCGACAAAATTAAGCCAGCTCCTTGTCAGCCAGTGAACTAATGAAGTAACAAATAACAATTTTATTAATTTTCATAAGTAATTTTTGACGTTACTCTATGAATATTGACCTTTAATTAACATTTTCTAATTTCATAAACATATTCTTATGACAATCGAATTGCATTTGTTGAAATGGTGCATAAACAACTTTTTTAATGCCAGAAACGAGTTGCGGGTAGAGAACAGATTTATCACCAATTGTGAGTCGTCGCGTTTACGGCTAGACGGGTAGCGAGAAGTTTTAAAGCATTCATAGATGGTAGTGCGATGCACTTTTCACTAGAAATGGTCGAGCGATTGAGACCGTTGCTTGTGTATAAACAAGTTTTTATTGCGTTCGTCCAGCTACAGGTAACGGACCGTCTTATCGCCGATAAGAAACTGTTGTGTATCGACGCAGTATTCAAGGCTTAGCGAACCGCGGGCAGTTTCAGTCGGATTGTCAGCTGCCTCGAGCGTGTACCGGCAGTTTGTTCGTTTCTTATAATTTGTATTAATGTTACGGACGTGTTTGATATTTTGCTAATCGAGCGAGGGCAGTTCAGAAAACATATATTGGTGCGTGTGCGACTGATGTGCGATCGGCCATTGATGTAATCCGTTTTTAAGGTATTTCTTGTTTACCAATCTAGTGCACCCTCGTATATTGGTATGTCACCGCGCGATTTCATTGCGCACACTCAGCGCACGGCGCAAGCACTTTCGGCGCACACGGCTTAATTCAAGACGAGATGAGTCATGAGTAGTCAGTTTGATCGCACGCGTTCCTCGGGAATCGTCGCCGTGTTTCTTGTGAATTTGATTCGGTCAATCGCGTTGCGTTGTTCTCTCATTTATTGTTTATTCGAATCCATGCCATAAATTAAACTTGTATCATCCGCGTTTCCACTTGTTTTGACGGATGTGCCGATATTTGTACTGTGAACTCGCGACTCGCCATTATCCTTTTGATAGAATTCGGTCAACTATTTCATTCGATCCAGCATTAACAGCATAGACTGCAAACCAAGTGAGACAACTTATGGTTATTTTATGGCACCGATCCACAGGTACATTCAAATTAAACTAATTATTTTATCTCTTATTGTTTATCATTCTCAATGTATGTATTGACTTGCTTTATCATTTTCATTAATAACTTTAGTGATTTGTTAATTAATACGCAAATAAAATTGCACTTTTGTGTTTCGATCGACTAATTTTGGGTGGTTTTAGGGGTTTTGCAACTGAACCTAACACCGTAGAAGAACCATTCCTTCATCAGAATGTAAGTATTGAATTTCTTTATCATTTTCATTAATAACTTTAGTAATTAGTTTGTTAATTAGCAACAAACATTTCATTTTTGTGTTTCAAAAGACTAATTTTGACTTGTTTTAGGGGTTTTGCACATGAACCTAACATCGTAGAAGAACCATTCCTTCATCAGAATGTAAGTATTGAATTTCTTCATCATTTTCATTAATAACTTTCGTGATTTGCTTGTTCATTAGTAGCAAAAATTGCATTTTTGTATTTCGAAAGACTAATTTTGGCTTGTTTTAGGGGCTTTACACCTGAACTAGACATGGTAGGATTAGCAGATTGTAGGTATTGAATTTTTTTATCATTTTCATTAATACCTGTAGTGATTAGCTTATGAATTAGGAGAAAAAATTGCATTTTTGTGTTACGATAGATTAATTTTGGCTTGTTTTAGGGGCTTTAAACCTGAACCTGACATTGTAGGAGAACCATCCTTTCATCAAATTGCAGGTATTAAATTTCTTTATTATTTTATTTAGTTTAAGAGATATTCATTATTGAAAATCGTCGAAAAAAATTATCAAGCACCCCCCCTTGGCAATTATTTCTTAAGAATTAAAATTTCATCTTTCAGATTTCGGTTTTAACTATCGTATTTTATAGAGAATAGTCCGTAGATTAAAACGCTGCGATTAGATCTTAAATATCTCTTTTTGTTTACGAGATATTCGCAATTGAATGCGCGAATGAGAGTCAGTTATACATTCATCCACGTACGGTACCCTGAACACGAGTCACTTCTGCCGCTAGCCTCGTAAGGTGTCCCGAATCGAGTCACTTCTACCGCTAGCCTTGTAAGGTGCCTCGAATCGAGTCCCTTCTACCGATAGCCTTGTACTCGTAAGGTGCCCCGAATTGAGTCACATCTACCGCTAACCTCGTAAGGTGCCCCGAATCGAGTCACTTTTACCGCTAGCCTCGTAAGGTGCTCCGAATCGAGTTTCTTCTACCTCAAGCCTCGTAAGGTGCCCCGAATCGAGTCTCTTCTACCGCTAGTATTTCAGATAAGTTAAAACAAAAAAATTCATATTTTTTCATATTTCATATTTTCCCGGGTGTCGTAGAGCCGCACGCAGCACATTCGAATTTATTATATATCGCAGGTATTGTGTCTATTGCAATTCGCGCACAAGGTCGTGTGCCATTGACGCGCCGCCGGCTTTGCGCATCTATTGCTTTCTTGTCATAAACTGTCGCGTTGTTGCTTGCACAGTTTGTAGCCAGTTTCGTGCCGGTATCTGGTTCATGCAATATTTTATGCGAATCGTATATTGTTTGACCGGACATCTACTTTCCAAATTCGCATTATATCCGATCATCAATCGACTATTTAATTTTGACTATAGTAATGTTATTTTCTATTTGCGCGTTTAGTGTCCATAAATGCCGGTTAAGTGTATCGCCCCCATGTTGATTTTATATGCATCATTAGGATGATCCATCGTGCTGGTGTAAGTAAATTTCGAAAGACTAATTTTGGCTTGTTTTAGGGATGTTGCACTTGAGCCCAACATCGTGCGAGAACCATTCTTTCATCAGAACGTAAGTATTGAATTTCTTTATAATTTTCATAAATAACTTTAGTAATTAGTTTGTTAATTAGCAGCAAAAATTGCATTTTTGTGTTTCAGAAAACAAATTTTGGCTAGTTTTACGGGTTTTGCACATAAACCTGACATCGTAGGAGAACTATTCTTTCATCAGATTGTAGGTACTGAATTTCTTTATCATTTTCATTAATAACTATAGTGATTTGTTTATTAATTAGGAGCAAAAATTGTATTTTTGTATTTTGGAAAACTAATGTTGCCTTGTTTTACGGCTTTTGCACATGAACCTGACATCGCAGGAGAACCATTCTTTCCTCAGATTGTAGGTATTGAATTTCTTTATCATTTTCATTAATAACTATAGTGATTAGTTTATTAATTAGAAGCAAAAATTGCATTTTTGTGTTTCGAAAGACTAATTTTGGCTTGTTTTGGGGGTTTTGCACATGAATCTGACATCGTAGGAGAACCATTCTTTCATCAAATTGCAGGTATTGAATTTCTTTATTATTTTCAAGAATAACTTTAGTGATTAGTTTTATAATTATCAACAAAAGTTGCATTTTTGTGTTTCGAAAGACTAATTTTGGCTTGTTTTAGAGATTTTGCACATGAACCTGACATTTTAGGAGAACCATTCTTTCATCAGATTCTAGGTATTGAATTTCTTTATCATTTTCATAAATAACTATAGTGATTAGTTTATTAATTAGGAGCAAAAATTGCATGTTTGTGTTTCGGAAGACTAATTTTGGCTTGTTTTAGGGATTTTGCACATGAATCTGACATCGTAAGAGAACCATTATTTCATCAGATTGTAGGTATTGAATTTCTTTATCATTTTCATTAATAACAATAGTGATTAGTTTATTAATTAGAAGCAAAAATTGCATTTTTGTGTTTCGAAAGACTAATTTTGGCTTGTTTTGGGGATTTTGCACATGAATCTGACATCGTAGGAGAACCATTCTTTCATCAAATTGCAGGTATTGAATTTCTTTATTATTTTCACAAATAACTATAGTGATTAGTTTTATATTTAACAATAAAAGTTGCATTTTTGTGTTTCGAAAGACTAATTTTGGCTTGTTTTAGAGATTTTTCACATGAACCTGACATTTTAGGAGAACCATTCTTTTGTCAGATTCTAGGTATTGAATTTCTTTATCATTTTCATTAATAATTATATTGATTAGTTTATTAATTAGAAGCAAAAATTGCATGTTTGTGTTTCGGAAGACTAATTTTGGTTGGTTTTAGGGATTTTGCACATGAACCTGACATTGTAGGAGAACCATTCTTTCATCAGATTAGAGGTATTGAATTTCCTGATCATTTTCATTAATAACAATAGTGTTTAGTTTATTAATTAGGAGCAAAAATTGCATTTTTGTGTCTCAAAAGACTAATTTTAGCTTGTTTTAGGGGTTTTGCACCTGAACTTGACATCGCAGGAGAACCATTCTTTCATCAGATTGTTGGTATTGAATTTCTTTATTATTTTTATTAATAACTATAGTGATTAGTTTTTTAATTAAGAGCAAAAATTGCATTTTTGTGTTTCGAAAGACTAATTTTGGCTTGTTTTAGGGATTTTGCACATGAACCTGAAATCGTAGGAGAACCATTCTTTCATCATATTGCAGGTATTTAATTTCTTTATTAGTTTCACAAATAACTTTAGTGATGAGTTGGATAATTAACAACAAAAGTTGCATTTTTGTGTTTTGAAAGACTAATTTTGGCTTGTTTTAGGGGTTTTGCATCTGAGCCCGACTTCGAAAGAGCATCATTGTTTCATCAGATTGTAAATATTGAATTTCTTTATCATTTTCATTAATATCTTTAGTGATTTGTTAATTAATTAGCACCAAAAATTGCGTTTTCATGTTTCCAAGGACTCATTTTTGCTTGTTTTCGGGGCAAGCACCTGAATGCGGCAGCCCCTTAATATGAGCGGGGTCCCTAAATATGTTGAATTTAATTCTTGGTCGTAAAAGGGGTAAAAGCGTCTGAAACGCGACTGAAACAGCAAAAAATTGCAATTTTTCTATTTTTAACGATTTATTTCAATTGCAAATATATGCGTAAACAAAAAGAGATCGAAAGGAATGAATCGAAGAGTCTTAATCTACGACAATTCTCTATAAAATAATACATATTTTGTTGCAGTATTGTAAAGTATTCTTAGGTTTGCTACAATACACGCATAACAAGTTTTTTTTATTGCTTTCAGCGTGCGTATCTCAACAGCGATAGTGACCTCGTGTCGTTGCTGTCGGCTGTGCAACTCAAGGCATACGCAGTTCCATTTTGGTTGTCGAGTGAATCGCGCGTTTTCATTGCGACTACTTTTTGTTCTTCCAATTATAATTAGATAAATTGCGGAATGTTCAATTAACGATTGACGAAATGTACTGTAATCGGATGTGAATGTTGTTTTTGCTAGTGAGATAGCATGCGATGAATGTTCATCAATCGCGGAGTTATCGGTGGTTCACCTATGCGCGTGTGATGTTGCGTCGGCGGTCGGCGATTGCTTTTCGCTTGTGGAATTACGTTGCACTCGTGTTAACCTATGTGTAAATAACCTGCGTGTCCACACAAACTTAATAATAATTTGGGTTTATGTTTAATTAATATAAATAAACAACGTTGATGCCTGTTGAAGAAGTATAGGAGCACTTGTGCCAAGGAGCCTACCACTTCCCTTGCAGAAATGTTAGAGATGCGCGTATTATTACAAGGCAAGTTTTACTCAAGTTTTACTCAGAATATTTAAGAGCTGTCTATGATTTTCGATTTTAAAAAATGTATGTAGTTTTTAATGTTGCTAATAAATCATAATGTAATATTATATACTTCTTCATATTTCGTTCTGGTTTCCCCTTTGCCGTTTGCAGGATTGATGTCTTGAATCATATTCCGTATAAATCTTAAGTGCGTCGAGCGTGTTCAATATATAGCTGTTATTTGTGTTGTGTTGTTGTTTTTAAAAAGTTGAATATAGTAGAAACATAAATAGAAGAATCAAATATTAGAGATAAAAACACTCGGTGGTCGAGTGGAGACGTGCACCTGCTGGCATGCTAGCAGACACGGATCGAATCTCAGGTATAGGAGGCATTTTTCTCAAATATAAAAATGACGGGTGTAATTTGGGTTGCATATGTAAACTCAAATGAAATATAAGAGAAATTGCAATACAGGTGAAAGCAATAAGAGAAGTACGAAAGTAGTAAGTGGTGAAACGGAGAACAGGGAAATAGGAGAAGTAGAAGAAGGAATAGCAGAGAAGAGTTGAAGACAGAAGGAAGAGAACAGAGAAGAGAGGAGGAAGAGATAGAATAAAGAGCAACAGGAGTGGATCATATTTTTAAATTTTTTGGCACGTGTCGTTATAAGACAGTCTACGGTCGATCTCCCAGAGCGCCCCCGGCGCTCTGGTCGATCGCCCACTGCTTCGATGCGTCCATTGCTTCCGGCCCATCCTACAGCTACGATGTCTCTGCGCTTCATCCCCGAAATTATCAGGCATATCAACAATTTTTATGGTGGGGGATCACCCCCAGAGAGAGGGAACTCCTTATAAGGACAATCCTTATAAGGTCTTGTAAAAATATTTCTAAGTTTTAAGTCGCCTCAAGAGAGGTGACACTTAAAAATATTCTTACAAGTTCTGTCCTGTAGCTGAAATGAGAGAAGGAGCACACAAATCACACAGGATACCTTAACAATTTTTATAGTGGGGATCATCCCCTGAGAGAGAGAACTCTCTTAGAGACCTGTTCCTGAAATGATAGAAGGGGTAAACACAAATCAAAGAAGTCAATATATCTTACTATTTATTTATTAACAATAGAATACAAGTTTACATTTTACAAGTCAACAGAATACATGTCTCCATATTGAACTAGGACTTACGACCTGCATAGCCGCGGACATGCAAGCAAGTAGCACTGCGCAAAGTACTACCTGAATATAGAAATTAGAAAATAGCCCATTTTCGACGTGATTGAAAATGGAAACAAATATACAGGGTGTAAAAGAAATAAAAACAAAAAAACTCCAAATACTACAAATGTCGCTCGTTTTCATCAACAATCAGGAAAACTAATATACAGGGTGTTACAAGTAGAAAATTCAAAATGCAAAGAAGAAAAACCTGAAAACAACCGTTAAATCTAAATTTTCACGGACAACAAGGAAAACGAATATACAGAGTGATACAAAAAGAAAATCAAAAATTCATGAAAGAAAACACTCGGGAATAACAAATTTAGAAAGCTTATAATAGAAAATCAAGAAAAACAAACATACAAGGTGATACAAATAGTAAATTCCTTAATTTAAAAATAAAATACAAATTTTAAGTAGAAAACGAGCCGGAAACGATAAATTATGTCAGTTTTACATTAGCGAGCAAGGAAAATTAATACATAGGGGAATATAAGAAGAAAATAGTTACATTTAATTGGAAAATTCAAAAATTTCGATGCAGAGAATTGGATTCAATAGAGAGGGTGACACAACAAAACTACAACTATATTTTGAATAAAGAATAGAGAGCTAGAAGAAAAAATCAAAGAAAATTTAAATTTAATAAATGTAAAATTAAAAAAGAAAATCACTTCGATAACTTACTCCCCGTTTCATAATTTATTTCCACGAATTTTGACAGTAAATATCTTATAAAACTTTATCTAAATGAAGTCACTTAGCAACTAGAAAAAACTACAATTCCTAACGCAACGAGTAGTACGGCGCATACACACAACTATCAATATAACTCGCGTTACGAAATTTTGTCGCAATAAATTCAAATACAGGGTGATACAAAATTAAATTCCGCATCTGGGAAAATTATTCTGAACTTATTATGACATCGCGTTCGCATGCTATAACAAAAAAACTACAATTCCTAGCGCAACGAGTACTACGGCGCATACACACAACTTTCAATATAACTCGCGTTACGGAATTTTGTCGCAATAAATTCAAATACAGGGTGATACAAAATTAAATTCCGCATCTGGGAAAATTATTCTGAACTTATTATGACATCGCGTTCGCATGCTATAACAAAAAAACTACAATTCTCAGCGCAACGAGTACTACGGCGCATACACACAACTTTCAATATAACTCGCGTTACGGAATTTTGTCGCAATAAATTCAAATACAGGGTGAAACAGAATTAAATTCCGCATCTGGGAAAATTATTCTGAACTTATTATGACACCGCGTTCGCATGCTATACTAAAAAAACTACAATTCCTAGCGCAACGAGTACTACGGCGCATACACACAACTTTCAATATAACTCGCGTTACGGAATTTTGTCGCAATAAATTCAAATACAGGGTGATACAAAATTAAATTCCGCATCTGGGAAAATTATTCTGAACTTATTATGACATCGCGTTCGCATGCTATAACAAAAAAACTACAATTCTCAGCGCAACGAGTACTACGGCGCATACACACAACTTTCAATATAACTCGCGTTACGGAATTTTGTCGCAATAAATTCAAATACAGGGTGATACAGAATTAAATTCCGCATCTGGGAAAATTATTCTAAACTTATTATGACACCGCGTTCGCATGCTATACTAAAAAAACTACAATTCCTAGCGCAACGAGTACTATGGCGCATACACACAACTTTTAATATAACTCGCGTTACGAAATTTTGTCGCAGTGAATTCAAATGCAGGGTGATACAGAATTAAATTCTGCATCTGAGAAATTTATTCTGAACTTATTATGACACCGCGATCGTAAGCTCTACTAAAAAAACTACAATGCCTAGCGCAACGAGTATTACGGCGCATACACACAACTTTCAATATAACTCGCGTTATGAAATTTTGTCGCTGTAAATTCAAGTACAGGGTGATACAGAATCAAATTCTGCATCTGGGAAATTTATTCTGAACTTATTATGACACCGCGATCGCAAGCTATACTAAAAAAACTACAATGCCTAGCGCAACGAGTACTACGGCGCATACACACAACTGTGAATATAACTCGCGTTACGGAATTTTGTCGCAATAAATTCAAATACAAGGTGATACAGAATTAAATTCCGCATCCGAGAAAATTATTGTGAACTTAATATGACACCGCGTTCGCATGCTATACTTAAAAAAAACTACAATTCCTTGCGCAACGAGTACTACGGCGCATACACACAACTTTCAATATAACTCGCGTTTCGGAATTTTCTCGCAATAAACTTCAATACAAGGCGATACAGAATTAAATTCTGCATGTGGCAAAATTATTCCGAACTTAGTGTGAGATGAGAAACTACAATTCCTAGCGCAACGAGTACTACGGCGCACCCACACAACTTTCAACATAACTCGCGTTAGGAAATTAACTTGCAGCAAATACAAATACGGGGTAATTCAGAATTTAATTCCGCATCTGAGAAAATTATTCTGAACTTAATATGACACCGTGTTCGCATGCTATGCTAAAGAAACTACAATTCCTAGCGCAACGAGTACTACGGCGCACCCACACAACTTTCAATATAACTCGCGTTAGGGAATTATCTCGCAATAAATACAAATACAATAGATGCGCAAAGCCAGCGCGTCGATGTCACTCGACCTTTTGCGCGAATTGCAATAGATGCGCAAAGCCAGCGGCGCGTCGATGGCACGCAACCTTGGGCACGAATTGCAATAGACACGGTACCTGTGATAAGAACTGAACTAAAATGTGCTGCATGCGACAGCGCGACGAGAATCTTACGCGTAGCATCTCGCACGGCGAATGCGATAATAAAGTGGTTTATACACAAACCCTGATATGATTCAAAACGAATACAATACTAATTTGAATCATGAAATTATGATTTATGATTTGAGTTTTATCGAAGCATTTATTGAAGCAAAGAATTCCGCAAAGGATATCAATTTTCTAATTGCAAGAAATCAGGAAAACAGATACTATGAATGATAAAAATTATACTTACCAGTGTATCGAACATCGCAAATCAAATGTGAGTAGATACTGAAATAAAGAAGAAACAAAACATTAGTTACACAATTTCGGACCATGGGTTCCGGTGGAATGCTTGTAATAATTAAATCATGCATGTTATTTTCGGAAACAGGGCTATGAATTCAGATAAAGAATGCTACCACGTGTGTGTAATTTGCAAAATTAATATCCCTCAAATGGAATAATCAATTTAATATAAACCGTCTTAACTTTCTGCGAAAAAAATTAATTACACACTTACCAGTGTAGTGATGAAGAGATTTTAGATCCAGGAATAAATCTTATCAACTGAAAACTCGTGCAGAAATTAACAGACACTTATTTCTTACTTAAGCCACACATACTCGTTGACGAAAAGAATACACGACGATTAATTGAATAAGTGAAGTCTGAAAACGCGTAGCTAGTAGTGAGACGCGCTCGCGACCACGCGGTGAAACGACTGCCGCGTGCGCTGCGCGTTGCCAGGTATAAGGCGGGTACGTCGCGATAATACATATCAGTTGAACAAAAAAGTTGTTTATAAACAAACGTAGTGGTAAACACGTACTTGAGAAGACAAAAGTAAAAATTCACAATATTGAAATAACACACATACACGAAATCTACTTTTACTTTCAAAATTTCTCGGCATAAGAAAAGAATATCTTGGATTTAGGATGCAATAAGGATGAGTAAAAGCAGGAGATTGTAATTTACTAATACAAATAAATAATTTCATGTCTTCTAATTGTCTTTGTATAAGTTTACTGTATACCTTAGACTAAATAATTGATGTTCACAACATCGCAACAAAGATTCTCTATAAAATAAAGTATTAAAATCGGAAGTATTATAATCCGAAAAAAATCCATAAAAATATACAAGATTGAATAAAATGGGCAAAAATTGATAAATGTCACTTTTTAGTACTTTTAGTCGCATTTTTCGGCCTTTTACTGTAGGAAATTTGATTATTATATATTTTTATCTGATAAAGAATTTTTCAATCTTTCATAATCAACAATTCATTGGTAGCTATCGCTTTTAGTTTAAGAGATATTAATTATCGAAAATCGTCGATAAAAAGTATCAAGCACCCCCCTTTGGCAATTTTTTTCTTAAGACTTAAAATTTAATCTCTCAGATTTCACTTTTAACTATCCTATCTGATAGAGAAAAGTCCGTAGATTAAGACGCTGCGATCAGATCCTATTTATCTCTTTTAGTTTATGAGATATTCGCGATTGAATAAAATGGGCAAAAATTGATAAATGTCACTTTTTAGTACTTTTAGTCGCATTTTTCGGCCTTTTACTGTAGGAAATTTGATTATTATATATTTTTATCTGATAAAGAATTTTTCAATCTTTCACAATCAACAATTTGTTGGTAGCTATCGCTTTTAGTTTAAGAGATATTAATTATCAAAAATCGTCGAAAAAAAGTATCAAGCACCCCCCTTTGGCAATTTTTTTCTTAAGACTTAAAATTTAATCTCTCAGATTTCACTTTTAACTATCCTATCTGATAGAGAAAAGTCCGTAGATTAAGACGCTGCGATCAGATCCTATTTATCTCTTTTAGTTTATGAGATATTCGCGATTGAATAAAATGGACAAAAATTGATAAATGTCACTTTTTAGTACTTTTAGTCGCATTTTCAGCCTTTTACTGCAGGAAATTTGATTATTATATATTTTTATCTGATAAAGAATTTTTCAATCTTTCACAATCAACAATTTGTTGGTAGCTATCGCTTTTAGTTTAAGAGATATTAATTATCAAAAATCGTCGAAAAAAAGTATCAAGCACCCCCCCTTGGCAATTTTTTTCTTAAGACTTAAAATTTCATCTCTCAGATTTCCCTTTTAACTATCCTATCTGATAGAGAAAAGTCCGTAGATTAAGAAGCTGCGATCAGATCCTGTTTATCTCTTTTAGTTTATGAGATATTCGCGATTGAATAAAATGGACAAAAATTGGTAAATGTCACTTTTTAGTACTTTTAATGGCGTTTTCTGAGCTTTTACTGTTGTAAATCTAAGTATTTTATATTTCTATCTGATACAGAATTTTCCAATCTTTTATAATCGGCAATTCATTGGTAGCTATCTCTTTTAGTTTAAGTGATATTAATTATCAAAAATCGTCGAAAAAAAGTATCAAGCACCCGCCCTTGGCAATTTTTTTCTTATGACATAAAATTCCATCTCTCAGATTTCCCTTTTAACTATCCTATCTGATAGAGAAAAGTCCGTAGATTAAGACGCTGCGATCAGATCCTATTTATATCTTTTAGTTTATGAGATATTCGCAATTGAATGGGCGAATGAGAGTCTGTTATACATTCATCCACGTACGGTACCCTGAACACGAGTCACTTGTACCGCTGCACTTGTACGGTGCCCTGAATACCAGTCAATTCTACCGCTGCCCTCCTTGAAACTAAAGTCGTAAGCGAGCAACGCAACAAAGAATATGAAAGTTTTGAAAATCCTCTACCAGGTAATAATTAAAAATACTTCTATTCCGTAGGGTATATGCGATCGAAACTAAACAACAATATGCTACATGCGATATGAGCAGATTGCAACGCGATACAAAATACCTTGATTATACACAAACGATAATTGATTTGTCTTCAATACGAATACAATTCTATTTTATGATTTTTAGGTCATGCTAGTGCCATCTCAGAATGGAATTTACGAAGCGACAGTTCACAGCAAGACTCTGCACCCGCTGCATGAACCTCGCAGGTAAAAGCAATAGATGCGCATAGCCGGCACGCGACCTGGTGCGCAAATTTTAATAGATGCGCAAAGCAGGCGGCGCGACGATGGCACGCGACCTTATGCACGAATTGCAAAAAACACGGTGCCTGCGATATGAATTAAACTGAAATGAGCGACAATTTGACATCATAATAGGTACACTTTTGTTAGCTGTTAACTGCAGAAGAAACCACGATCCAGGTTACATAATGGGGATCGTTCTAACCGGTGTTGGGGACACATATAGAAAAATTATCATGTTTCCTATAATGACGAAAGTCTGGCCGTCACGGGCTCTTACTCTATAACAACCCTATTATACAAGACAAACTTTAAAAAAGTTGAAAAATAGTGAAATTATTCGAGCAATTATCAGGCACTTTGGTCATGATTTCTTGGGGGCGGCTATAACGTATCCGTAACACTAACTCACTGCCTATCAAAATCAGAAAAAAAGTGCAAATATTGCGAGTAGTCCAGGAGATATATTATGAGCCAATTTCCACGATGAAAGATTAAAAAAATTGAAAAATTAAAATTCGATTTGCGTAATTATGATTTCTTATGCTGCAGAGTGATATTTAAGTAATATCTGCTTAAGTGATCTGTTGGTGATAAAAATGTTATGCTGATGATGATTTTTATAATAAACTATTCCTGTGTATTATGTAAAAGTGTTAGTTATATTCATGATTTAAGAATTGAAGAATACTTGCTTAAATTTACAATGCCAATATAAACTGCAAGATGTGTTTTTGTTACAAAAAATAAAGATTCGATATCTGCAGGTAAACAAACTTATCTCTTGTGCGAAATCGCGTGATTGCACACGGACACGGTGTGCACTCACTACCACCGACAAGCAATATTTAACGCGAAAACGGGCATCGTAGTGCCATCTAACCGACTATCTAGTAACAGCAGGTTTAAATTCAAAACACATTTTATCAAGTATGCAACAAAGTTGATATTGCATGAACATACCAATCAAAAGCAATTTAATAATGCCTATCAAATCGTAATATTGCTTTAATTTATACTCTACTAGCGGATTATTCAAGTTTGTATCAACTTTTTAAATACACAAACTCAATTTCTTTTGGCATGCAAGCATGTATTAGTCTAATTTAGTGAAAATAGTTAAAGTGACGAAATGGTCAAAATTCATTCTAAATGTAGTAAAATGGGAATCAAAGTTATAAACAAATATGAACATAATTACTGTGGAGCGTGAGTTGAGAATATTTCTATGCAACGGTTCGCGGACAATGTACGAGTTGAAGCAAGACAAAAGAAATGTTGTTTTCATTTTGGCAGTGATAAGCGCAGAAAGAACAGAATAAAGACAATTCCGATGTGTGTACGTGATAAAAGTCGACCAGTTAAAAACTGACTTTGGATAAATAAGATTTCATTTATACGATAGACAATATAAAATAATTCATTTAATTATAAACTTACCTTTGGATCGATGGCAATCCTTAATTGGATCCTCCGGTGGTTTGTCGTAGCGATAATCACAAAGAGGAATGGTGAGTCGGGAGTTAACGACACAAACATCGGCAAGCCTGCAAAAACAAGCGGAATCGCGGATGATATAAGTTTAATTCCTTGTGTCAACGCAATTTTCAATAAATTAGTTCACAACACAACACGATCACAATCCGAATCACGGGCCGATAAACATGATCGCGACGACCGCGTGCGACAAACTACAAGCAACTCAGCTCGCCTTGAATTAAGCCGTGTGCGCCGAAAGTGTTTGCGCCAGACGCGGAGTATGCGCAGTACGTAATCACGGATTTATGCATCTACAAACTGCTACAAACCAAGGTGCGAATGTGTGAATATATTATGCTTGAAAACTACTGTAAAAAATGCAAGCGTAACTAAAAACTAGAATTTCTTAAGCATATAACTTGCAAAATTAAAAAAAGTACTGAATATGCCTTTCAGGAAAATATTGTTGCCAAACTTAGTTCAATACGCATATTTTTCAAACTAGATAATTTAAAACATTACCTGTATAAACGGGTTACATCAATGATCCATAGCACATCAGTCGCACACGCACCCATAAATGCATGATTTGTCTATGTTTTCGAAACATTCCATACCCGATTAGCAAAATATTAAAACGCCCGTAACACAAATACGAATTAAAATCACAAGAAACATGCAGGCTGACGAGATACACGCGCGAGTAAACTGACAACCCAACTGAAACTGCCCGCGGCCCGCCCCGCCGTGAATACTGCGTCGATACACAACAGTCTCTTATCAGCGATACGACTGTCCGTTTACCTGAAGCCGGTCGAATGTAATATAAAGTTGTTTATAAACAAGTAGTGGTTTGAATCACTTGACTATTTCTAGTGAAAAGTGCATCGTAGTGCCATCTATGGCTGTTTTAAAAAGTAATAATTAAATATAATATTGTTAGAATTATAATATGCTAGGTATTTACAATCCAATCCAACGACATTGCAAGACTGAAATGCAATATTATTAATTAGATTTTTAAATGGTACTGCTTGAAATAAAATAAAACAAAACAACATATGTTCGTTTAGTTCAAGAAAATGTTATAACTTAGAATACGTTGTATCAATAAATAAATCCAATTTTCTTCATACTTTATTTTATTTACTTCAATTTTTACAATAAGGCAGTGAACTATACCAAGTAAAATCAGAGTGTTTGTCAGAGATTCCAAACAGTAAATACAACATTAAGTACAAAGCGTCATACAAAAAACATTTACTGCACACAATATATTACAAACAACCAATTTTCCAATGTTTGCCCGTCACTGGTACATAGTACGTGATTCGTGATTAGTGTGTTATGAGTTACGATAAACAATTAATCAAGCATTACGCATTTCGATAATCTATTTATACGCAACAATCGATTCTCCTATGTTAGTACAATGCATAGTTTAGTTTCGCGATGTTAGAGTGTTGATTAGACGATACTGTTCGAATATTTACACATGTCAATAAAAAAATTAAAAACATTATTTTTGTACACCATCGCTTTCTAAAGATTCGAATGTGACGAAACGTGCAAAATCCTACAAGATATCATACAAAACAATACAATCCAATAAAATATAAAACAAATACAGCAATAACAACATTTATAGAATAGATATAATATGTATATGTATAATATTTATAATTCCGAAGCAGATAATTGCTTCATCAAGAAGATTTCCGGCAAGTTTTTGGGCTAAAGTATGATTGCAGTTCTTATCTCGCCCGAAAAACATTTCGCTTCAATAGATTGATCATTGATATGGCACAATTTTTAAAAACACATTCAGTTCAGCGTGAGATTTTAAAGTTTCGTTGTCGCTTGCAGTTTAACATAACGATTGTGTTGCTGTTCGTCGTCAAGTTCCGGCGGTAAGAAACACTGATGCGTGGTGAGTTTAGGTCGCAGAAGAACTCGACGCACTCCCCAGATCAGTGCGATGACCATGAAGCTTAATATCAAGAAAATTGATACAAACGCGACGTCCAGCGTCGAGAATCTGCGCGCTTCGACGTGTTTGAACACGGTGATACAACGCGGTTTTAAAGCCGGATCGAGCGTTGGATTCGGAAGGATAATATTTGCACACACTCTGTATGGACCTGTATTCAATCCCACATAAGAATACTTCGGTTCGCTGCAGTTTACACGACGTTGTGATAATAACGCCCCTTGTTCCAGAATAGCTATGTTAATCTCACACTGTGATGATGCAAGTTGGGGCTGTGGGTATATATTTAACAATATTCCAAGATGGCCGTTGTAAGATAAATTCGCCTGGATTGATATAACTCTAGGTAGCTTACTGTTGGTGGAAGCAATATCGGTACGTGGTAGAACACGCCCGCTTTGCACCAATGGCAAAACATCCGAACAACCGAGAACCAGTGATAAATCATCCGCCATTTGTTTGGATTCTAATAAAACCACGCAATATCGATACCGGTGTCCTGGTTGTAAATGTGTGGAACTCGGTACTGTGACTCTAAGACTTTTAGGGTTTTTGACTTGACTCGAGTTGCATTTCAATGGGTTTGATTCCAGAAGTACTTCCGCTTGACCTTCCTCTTCGTAGACAAAGATGGCGTCGCAAGTGTACGGCACCGCAGAGTCTTCAACACTCCACTCAAGGATAACATTGGATCCGTCATAATTAAACGTCTCCAAGTTGATTCTAGCTTCAATTGGTGCTTCAATTGCTCCAATTACTTCATCATCCTCTCCACAGACTAAATCTTTCACGGCTACGTTCACAAGAAGGCCGTTTTCTAAACTAGGCGGTGTCGCACACACCGGAGAGTTTTTATCTTCTCCTGTGAGTGTTGACCCCGACAACCAAACAGCAAACTCAATCAAACTACAATCGCAATTCAACGGATTGTCACTCAAAGTCAACCGCTTTAAAACTGTCGTATTCTTCAACGCATCGCTTGCAACAATGGATATATCATTATCATCTAAACGCAAACCCTCTAATGATTTCAGGGGAAGTATGAGGTCAGCCGTGAGGGCACGTAGAAAATTGTGTCGGAGGTCCAGCTCGAGCAAATTGACTAGGTGCGCGAGCGAAGCTCCAGAAACTGCAACAATGCGATTGTGGGCTAGGTCCAGATGGACCAATCCGCCTAACTGGCTGAAAGCGTTGTCCTCAAGCACGTCGATTTGGTTGTGATGCAGAGAAAGTGTCGTGAGGTTAGTTAAACCCATGAGAGCGTCCTTCTTGATGCTGCTAAGAGTGTTGTGACCCAACTGCAGATCTCCAAGGGACTCCATCGGTGGAAACGTGTGAGGTCCCAGGGGGCCAAGCAATTGATTCTCAGATAACTCCAATTCCTCAATGGTTGGAAGTGGGTCCATGGCGGTGATTGAGTAAACTGTTAGTTGGTTTCCTCTTAATCGCAGTATGCGTAATTGGGGAAGATCATCAAAAGCATTCGGAGCTATTTTCGTAAGGATATTATCGCTTAGTTCGATAAAAGAAAGATTTTGAAGGCCCTACAAATAAAATAATTTAATTGTTAACCCTGGGGATTGAATTGATCAGTGATTGACTTACTTTGAAAGATTCAGCATCAACGTATTTCATTTTGTTGCTAGATAGATCCAAACGATCCAATTCAGGCAAACTCTTCAACGCTTGAGTTGGAACGCTGGTGAGTTTGTTATTCGGCAGGCCTAACGCCTGCAGAGGCGATGCAAGACCTTGAAACGCCGTGTGATGGACTTCTGTGATTTCCCCGGACGAAATCACCAAACCATGAAGGGCGACGCCTTGCAATAGCAACCCTGGTAAAGCTGTCATGTTCTGAATCGTGCAGTCAAGCAGAGAAACACCTGGGTCGCTCCCAATCGAACGCAACTTTTTACCTAGTTATAAGAAATCAAAAAGGTAATAAATCCTTAAAAATTTCTTGGTATTTGTGTTGCGTACCAATGATTTGCATAGCTCCTCGACTGCCGGAACAACGCAGCGTGTGCGGCATGTCACAGCTGCATTCCACTACCGGTTGCTGAGTGATTTCCGGGCAAGTCCACGCATCCGGCAGGTTCGTGGTTGAAGAGGACGGCGGCATAAACGGCCCGGGGGCGGGTATCGCCGTCGTGCCACACCACCACACCAACGAGAGCAGCAACCACCACATTCCAACCATTCTCACTCAAGCTGCAATAATAAAACAACCCTTAATTAAAAGTCAAAACAATGTAGTTGTAGTTAGTTTCGTTAGTGACTTTTTTAAATTTTAGCAGCATTTTTAATGAATCACAAAAGCGTGGTTCAGTACGTGATTGGAATTGGGCGACAAACGATAACGAATCATTGTTCGGCATGATTTTCGTCGGAAATTCCAGTTTGCCGTGGTGGCACGCGTGCAATTTCATTTGAATTTGCGAATTTCGCCTAGTGCTAGATAAATTCGTATCCAGCTGAAAATTAAACCAAACTTCGTTAATATTCGTCGCATCGTCGCCATTGCGCTAAAACCAGTAAGAATTAATTTCGCCTTCATTTGTTTCCGGCGCGCACGATTATATAGCGTTTGAATTATATTTTCACTGCTTTAATGCACCAAAAATGCAAATGCGCTACAACTTACGAACTTACGAATAGGTTTTATGAAATTGAACTGTATTAGACAATCGTAAATTATGAAATAACAAACAAACAGCTGAATTTGCGAATGGGAATGTGTTATATGCAGTAAATACGTTTCGTTGGCGTTTTATTTACTCAGGCGCGTGCCAAATACCGTGTGTTTTGCTTTTGTGTTTTGCTCCAAATAACATTCAAATATTGAGTGAAACATAAACAAATATTTTTTTACTTATAAAACAATAATTTATTATTGCGACACTCTGTATAATATTTAGCAAGATGCGTAATTTATAAAGAATTCAAGACCATGTGGAAAATTACTTCTCTACGAATTTAATTGAGATGATGACATTCATTACATTTTTCCATTAAGTCTTGATTTATTTTTATCCTCGAAAAAAAGTCAAAACAATAAACAGACAAAAACAAAAGACGTAATAAATAACAGAGGCCATTATGGTCGTAATGTATATTTTAAAACATGTTTCCATAACGTTCGGATCAGTTTGTCGCATTTCGCTGTGTATCATTTTCATTTTGCGGATTATATGTAACCCACAAAGCACGCTTCGGTGACTATCGGAGCGTGTGGAGTTGAGAGCAAAAAGTAAATTTCCAGCCGAAAGCTGAAAAACGCCGTAAACGCAATAAACGTGAATCCGAAGAGTTTATACGAGACAATAGGAATGTTATTTATGAGAAAATATGCTTTCCGGCATTCCTTCGTTGTAATAAGTCATATTTTTCGGTGCGTCCGCGTGCTACCCTGCTACATATATAGGCTACCCAGCGAGCTTATACACCTTGAACAAAGCTATTGGAATTCCTCGCGCTCATATATTTCGCACTATTGGATTTTTTACGTTCGACTATTCGAAAATCCAACTTATGCGGCGTTATTCACGAGTGCGACCGTCGACTTCGGTGATGATTTGGCACGTCGCATAGAGTCGCGGTGGGACGGTTTGGTTTTATTGCATTACTCGTCCATATCAATTTCAATGCAGACAGATAAATTAAATTCTTTTGTTTTAGAAATATTTTAACAAAAATATGAAATTACTAGCTTTAACCCGCGGCTTCGCTCGCGAATATCTAAAATAATGAAGTTGCTTCCGTTCGCGTCTGTAGTCACAGAAGAAGTAACAATGAAGTAGGATGGCGGGAAGTTTAAAATGGCTGAAAGTATAGTGTATGGAAGTATAGTGTACAGTCTCCATAGTGTAGTCAATTGGATTTGATGTTGACGTAGCTGTCGGTAATACAGTGTGATAATACAGTGTGATGGTACTATAGTTCTTAGATTTGAGCTTCATTGCTGGAATGCTAGATGGCGTTAAAGTAGTCAAATAGCCAGATGCAGAGGTATTATTGGCTAAACAATTTCTTTATTTTATTTAAAAAATAATTTTATTTTATTAAAAAAAAAAGGTAGCCTATAACTATTCGGGGACCACTAAGAATATGTGTACAAATTTTCATGATGATCGGTTAAGTAGTTTTTGCGTGAAAGTGTAACAAACATCAGGACTTTCGCATTTATAATATTAGTAGGGATTAAGTAGTAGAGATCCTTCGGGACCTTGAAGATGAATTTTAAGGATTTCATAAACAAATTAAAATTAAACAAATTTAAAATATGTTTCGTAATTAATGTGCACATTGAGTGGTATATACACCTAATCAAATATTAATTTGATAGACAGATGAGGAATAAAGTTTAGTTGCACTCGATTTGCATCCGCCGCCGGAAACTTGTGTGGTGCACATAAGCTAATAACGCTGTGAAACAATTAAATTTAATTACTCGAGAGATTCATGGATCGTTTGCATGCGTCGGGAGGATTATCAATTAATTTTAATTATGCTTATCATGTTAGTGTTACCAATTATTGGACCGCGGAGAAGATGAAAATTTGATATTAATGATCATAAAGTTCATCAAAATTACTTAAATCAATATAAAATAAATCACAAAATTTGCCATTATGTGTGTTTGGTTGCCTATATTAAATTAAAGTTGTTATATAACTGCAATTGTAATTACAGTTTTAAAAAAATCTCTGCAATTTTGTCGCTTGATTCACGATTTAATCATTTCGAGAGATCGAACGTTTCCATTCGAGCAAGGAGATTAACCGACATGTCGTCGCATTTCACCAGCAAATGCACAAAAACCCACGGCGAACATATAATCCTTGCTTCGAGCGCCTAGATCGAACGGAGAGAAAAGAAAGAGTGATGGAGATGAAACCGGATGCATTTGTATTTGCTTGTCCTGCAAGGACTGCCCCGAAGTGGGAAATGCAGTATTTCGGCGAAGAAATGCAATTCACGCGATTCTCCCCATAGATTAAGGAGGAATCGTTTATTTTGCGAACGAAACGCGTATTGAAAGCGCAAAAATAAAATAAAAAAACCAATACCGCAGTCTAATTTAAAAAAATATTCTAGACATTAATTTAAAACTAAAAAATATGAAAATATTTACATAAATCTCCAATAAATCATAAATTTTTCGAATTTTAGTCATGTTTCATTGTTTTATTATGCGTTCCCAATTTATAATTTACATTTACAGAAAGCACGATATTTCTAAAAATATTTGACGTTTTTATTAATAATGTAAAGACCTTATAAAGTAGCCTAGACAAATTTATGCAAATCGAATTCGGCTACGTTTTTCATACAACAAACAACAAAAAGATATGCAGCACACACAATGAAAATTAAATTTGAATACATAATTTTATTTCGCGTTGTAAATAAACTCCAACTGTTTCGGATAATTCAATTATGCAAACTGTGCAATAAGTCAATTTTTAATTGAATTGAATATTTAAATATTATAATATTCAGTCGGTATCTATTTCTGTGTGCACTTTGCACTTTTATTGTATTTAGATTTTGATTAACCGTCAAACTGTCACAATCGATATAAATTAAGTTTGTGTAAGGTCCGCGTAGAAAATCAGGGAAATGTAAATGTATAGTAAACTTGATTTAAAATCGAACGATGAGCGCATCACGTAGGTGCACAGATTCGGAAACGTTCCGAAATGTGTAGTATTTGAACATTTGTACGCAATCCATTCGCAAACGGTCGGCACGCACTCTGAATGAACAAAAACACAATATTGGATGCTTCAGAAGCAGAACAATGCTCAAATTAACAAATTTTACTGAATAGTGTATGTTGGGTTGCCTATTATAAGTCACAACTTGTATGTGACTTAAAATAAAGAAAAATATTAAATTTTAGTTTTAAAATGTTTTAACAGACTGTATATTAAGTCAGCGTAGCGTGATTTCCACAATTGGACATTGCGGTGACCTGTCGAGTCGACGGGGTCGGCTTTTCATAGAATCACATTGCGAATCGAAACGACATTATAGGTTTTTGCTCAGTTCGTCGTCAACCCACTGATGTGTGTGCGTGAATGTGTGTGTTACACGCATTTTAAAAAAGCGCGACGATAAAAACGAACGCAGTGGATCTTAGGAACATCGGAGCGCTACAAAATCGCTTTTGATGTTTGATGTGAAGCTACATTACCACTTTAAACATGCCATTCAGAACAAGTGCGTGAAATGGCAAGACATCAATGAAAACGTCTGCCTAACGCATACTGCAATATCCCTGCTGCCATCTATCGGCGATACTTTAAACTTACACTTCACAATCTTTTTGATTGCAAATTAAACACTTCAATTACACACCGTGCGTGGAAAACTCAACAACGCACTTGAAACTAAACGTAGAGTAAGCATGTTCAATCTACACATGTTGATAGTTAAGATGTTAGTTAAGCATAAACGCAAACAAGGAACTTATCGTACCTAACCTCAACATCAAACAGTTGGAACATGGTAGCAGATGTATGCAATACATTAGTAACGTATATAGGTACGCTTGGAATGAAAATGGAAATGAAAACACAACCGATGTGGAACAATATAGCTAAAAGCTAGTGAAACAGATGGAAACTGATAAGATTGCATGCAATATTTAAACAATGCAACAATGTTTAAACGGAACATCGACAAAAAGCCGAATCGCATTATGTGTTGCGTTAACATCGCATTGAAAACGCTCGTGCGTTTGTTCTTCGACTGTTTCGAACGGTTTCGGCATTGTAATGCTTCGGTAATGGCGGCGAGTACGAGTGGTCGCGCCATATTTGGGCCTAGCAAGCCTCTATTCGGGCGATCCTGTGATTCTGCAACGTTTGGACATTTATATGTCATCGGTTAGTTGTTACTTGTTGCGCTATGTGTGGAAATTGCATGCACAATCATATACACATTGGGTGAGGTGAGGTGAGGTTAGAAATCATCGGTGTCAATCGCATAAACGACCATTACCATATTTACATCTTTTAGGTTAATACTCACATTATTTCGTATTTATCCATCATAATTTTTAAACATTATGGTATAACTCGAGAGTACAAAATAAGAGAATGTTGAATAATTTGGTAAAAAAATTAATTTTAGTTTTTTGCATATGGAAAACGTTAAAATGCGTCTGAAGTTGTCAAAACAAATATTAGGTTAAGCTACACTCACGCCACAACGTCAAAAACCGTAACAATAAACATAACCTCACGTGAAACATAAAAAAAGTCAAAAATTACTGACACAAAACCTACACTAGCGCCACAACGTCATAAATCACAACTATAAACCTAACCTCACTTTCTAGAAATAAAAATAATGTTTCATTGTAAAATTTATTCAAATTGCGATACAATTAATTTCATCATTCATGTACCCCTGATAATATGCTACCTTCAATGCGCGGTTGTTTGCAAAACGCCGAATGCCAAATGTTAGCTTAACAAACAATTGTGAAAAAACTTGTCCTGGCAACGCAATGGTGGCATTTGTGGTATTATTCACGTTGCGTCGAGACATACATTATTCACGAGAGCACTCTCCACCGACGACACACAATATTCTCTCCCTCGTCCAATCTGCATTATAAACCAAAACTTCGCACTTTACCACACCGCTCAAAAAGAACAATAAACAAAAAATAATTACAACACATTCTGCTAATTACTAAAATGAAAAATACGTTGTATACAACAAATATATTTATTATAAGTATTATTAAATTTAATATTAACAATGAAACCAAAGCACCAATCAAGAGGACAAAACATATTAACAATAGTCAGTCATTGCTCACTGGTGCATTTGTTTAGTATTTTGTTTTGTGTTGAATTCTTTTGTTTGTCCTGCTGCTGTTGTTAATGTAAACGATACCGAGACTTTTCTCGTATCGTCTCGGTCTCGTCTCGGAAAAGCGAGACGATACCGAGACGAGACGTGTTTTATCAATCGGCGATACCGATACCACAGTCCGAGTCTCGTTTTTGGTCTCGTTATTGGTCTCGTTACTTTTTTTGAAGTTGTTATTAGAAAAATGGGAAAATATTAACAATGAAATATTTCTTTTGTATATTCAAAATAACAAGTCAGTTTACACATCCGGAACATATTTTTGTGTTTTTCTGTATTCATTGCTCACTGGTGCATTTGTTTAGTATTTTGTTTTGTGTTGAATTCTTTTGTTTGTCCTGCTGCTGTTGTTAATGTACAGTTGTTTCGGCCAGTTTAACGCTTATCACGTTCGCTGGCATTGCAAAGCGATGTTTTTCTGGGATTGCATGCTTCGGTCTCCGGATGGCTTTTGTCTGCGCGTGTGTTTCATTTGTATTTATATTTGTATTTGTATCTGTTTCTGGTTCGGGTTTTAACACAGTGGCATAGTGGTGGCACTCGGTCGCTGTTTACAGTTCCTTTCCCATCCTGGCCACGCTTGCCAACCCTTTTCCGCGTGGACTTTTTGAGCGCATTGCAAATCATCACTTATATCATCATTTATAAAATCTATAATAATTTTATATTCAAATAAGAGTTAAAAATGATAAAATTATTATTACTTGCGCATCTGATGTTACATTGCCCACCGGATTTTTTATTATCGCAATATATCTTATCATTGAGCTAAAAATTGAAAAAAAAAAAATAATTATGAAGTTTTAATGTTATGCAACCAAGTGTGCATGTAAACAAAAACAAATGAACGTGATGGTGAATCTGCCTACACACGACATAAACGAGTGTAAATAATGATTAAAAGCGATGAAATGATATGCAAATGCGATTCGTTAGTCGAACAAATGAACGTCCGCGAAACAATATGCGTGGGGTCAGACAATACGCAGTTCTGAATATGAATATAATCATGGAATGCTCACATGTTCACCAGCTCGAACACAAAATTAAATAAACGTGATATTTTTAGCATTAAAATTCAAAACGTTAAAAAAAGCAAAAAATAATAAAATGCGATGTGTAAGTCGAATGTTGTACGTGATTGTTATGAAAAGCGGAAGTAGGTCTTCTTCATTCCGTCGCCATGTTTTTTCTCTCGGTTATTTTCGTCTGGCAGCGTCAAAAAGACACGTACGCCGTGTTTATCTCCGAGTTAAGCTTCCCATTCTCAATTCGCGCTCGTTTTATGTTTCGGTTCATGAAACTCGAGCGCCCGGAAGCCAAAACACCTCTTTTTTTTACCTGAAACAAGCCTAGGTTGTGTCCGCTTCCCTTGTTATGCACCGCCGACGTGTTGAGGTAAGATTCGCTTCGCACAAGACAAATCCCTCAAAGAAAAATATTTTTTTAGTAAAATAAACACAAAACACTAAAAATTGTGTTAGGTTATGTTTTGTTTAATATTTAAGGTTATAATTCTTACAATTTCCAACAAAACTCCTATGCACGCCAAGTCTGAGCAGCTCGTTAAGCAACCCACATTGCGTGAATATCTTGCCACTGCTCTCCGGCACGGTCGTCATTGACAGCAGCAATGCAACAAACACGACTTTCGTTATCGGCCGCATGATAACACCTGTGACGTCTGTATCTCCGACAACTTTGAGGTATAAGCACCTCGGAACACTCAATTGTTTATTGACTACCGAACAAACAACTTAAACAATTTAGTACAGTAGCTCTAAAGAATACTTATTATATTATCACTTGTTTTTCCAAACAATTATTGCACAACTGCACGTAGCATCTGTTGCAGCCGACGGTGCGAACACTGCCGGGCGGTATCACGACGCGAACTAACTCCGAATGTTATTATCGACGCAGTTTATTGTCCAATTCAATATCGTGTGAGTGTTGTTGTTATGAGCATTAAAAACTCACATTACGTTTAAACTTATAGGTAGGTACTTATAGGCTAACTTATCATTAATCATTCATGATGAACTTTAGGCTACAAAACGTTTGAATCTCGTGTGTAATTATTACGTTTAAAAAACTACTGGGAAATTATTAATAAATAACGTTAATGTTTGCGATTGCGCGTGTTACCATGTTTAAAGTTTGGAACCGAATGTTTGCGTTGGATTTTCTCAAGGTTGAATATTTTATTGTTAGTCAAACGAACGGTGCAAAATAGAAAATCATTGAGAGCGCACATAATGAGTTTTTTTGTGTCTATACCCGGAAACTAGGCATAATTATATTTTTAATTAGATTAATTTCTTTATTATTACTTATTTTGTCCTTGAATGACCTTGAACTTGTGTTATTTGTCAAAATAAGTTAATTTGTGATTAGAATATTTATTTATCTCATTTTATAGTCCAAAATTCACAAAATACTAATTTTGGAAGTAAGATTATCATTAAATTGTAATTTACTACCTACATAACCTCAAAATTGGCTTTATAGATATTTTGAGGTTATTTAACAACCGTTTTATCTGTTTTTATACTCAATGATGCCATTTAAAGACAGTAAATAGTTTATCCTTAAAGAAAACCTAATAAATGATCGTTTTGCTTGTAATAATCGTAATTCAAGTTATATCCGATTGTCCAACATCTAATGACACTGATGATCGAAGATCAAAAGCATATCGCGGTGTTCAAATATGGAGTAAAACACATTTACGCTTCTTTTCTTTCATCCACGGACGAAAATGGTCGGAAATGACATAACCTAACAAATCAATTTTCCGTTAAGGATAGCGAATCGTGCCAGCATTAGTTTGGCATGCAATCCATGCGGAATCGTAACATATTTGAACAAGACGAAAAAAATAAATACAAGAACGAGAAAGAAAGGAAGATGAAGAGAAAATGTAGAAAATTGAACTGAAACATCTGTTACACGACGTCGCGGAGATTTATTTTAGAAGATATTAACTTATTAACTTGTATTTTAAAGAAATTCTGAGATTTTCTAATAAAACTTTCTGTTTACATTTTTGTTGCTGTTGTTGGTGTTTGGAAGAAAAACAAAATATCATATGGAAATGATGCTCATCAAAATTTCCAAGCATGAAAACTCTCACTGCTTATCTAACTTCCATCTGCTAAACATCTAAAAGTAAACGAATCGTTGGCGTGGCGACGCAAAAAGTAAACGTTTTCCTAAACCGGCACAACATATTCATACCTGCTGCGTCTTTATCTCGTTTTTTTTTCTGCGCTTTCAGAGTTTTCCGCACACAAAAAGAGCTCAAAGAGTCAGGACTCACTTAATGTTTTTGTCTTGTGGATGAAAGTTTTCTGTTCAGTTTTTAGTCGCTGGATTTTCGCCTTTCTTCCTTTCTTCCGGTTAGATTTTACGAGCGCGTCTATTCTCTAGTGTTCTCCGCACTTCGCATGATTCTACGTTATACTCATCCATTTTAAGTTTATCAGAAAATATTATTTAAAATCCGCTTTAAACTAGCGCGCGAGTGCGCCTTCCATCACGTAAACTACCCCTGCGTGTAGTCTAGTTTATGAATACTCGACTCGAGTACGCGTCTGCATCATGGCATTCGATTTGGCCGCCATTTCATGAATAAATTTATGAATATGGCGCGTCGCGAAAACTTGAGCGAAAGTTTCGAAGCACAATTCTTTGCCGATCTCATATGTTTTAAGCTTCGAATAATAACTTTTCAGACGGTTAAAGTATACAGGGTGCATGCACTAGTTTCTTTTCTAGTAAAATTTGTAATAATTTAATGTAAAATAAGTTTTATAGAAATTTTAATGCAGCAATTTACGTTCTCATTAAAAATCTCTTGGTAGAATGGAAGTTTAAGAGAAATAATGTGTTAAGGAAAGTGGTAAACGAAAATATACGACGCACGCAGATGTTTTCCACTGAGTTTCAGTCATTTTTATAAGCCTTTTGAATTTGTAGGGTAAAATTAATGTTTTTGAGTAAAACAGCTGTTTCTTGAACTATATGCAACTTTTTGTACAATAAAATCTGCAATTTGCTATTCCCAAAGTAAAAAAATCATAATTTCTTTATTTTACAAATAAAATCTATCAAAATACTTCACTTTTCTTATTTTAATAAATAATTTTCTTTTTATAACTTTTTATGAGTTAATTCATTTACCAAAGAACAACAAATTAATATCTATCAAAAAATTAACTGTAGGCAACTTTTAATACACGAACATTAAGTATTGGTCAATGATCTATAATACTATGAGATTATCAACGCTATAAAATTAGATAATGCAGGTATCCGAACAAAAAAAAACTTCCTAGATTAATAATTCAAGTTGTCTGCTTCCCGAAAACTTTTCGTTGGTGTTTACCGCGCACCACAAAAGGTCTGAAGTGTGGTTTGCGTGCGGCCGTAACTCTACGCCATTGAGCTTATTAAAATGTGATTGATTTATGCGCCCGCAATCGATTTTCCATTCATTCACCTCTCTCGCACTCCAAAACGAAAGCTTCGTCTCCCTATTTCATCGCAATTACTCTTTCTGACTTTGATTTTCCTTTGTTTCTCACACTAAGCAAACTCACAAACTCACAAAAAAATGGCTGACTTTGCATCCCACTGGCGACGTCTGCGTCTTAAGACTGCAAAATGTGCAAATCCAAGCCACCAAGAAAAAAGCATTAATACAAGAGAGAATCGAGTCAATAATCAAAGGAAATTGGATGGAAATTTAGTTAATGATGATGAAGAAAGCAAGGGTTTGAGCGTAAGCCTGTTTGTCGGGCGCTGCCATCGCCAACTGCCCGCCGGCAATTTATTCCCCATAAAGAAAGGACTCGAATCCTTACACACATCCAATCCGGCAAAGTTTCCGTAGACCTTCGAAGATTTTCGCCCGTTTGCGATGGCGAAATGTTTGTACGTGTTTGAATGTGTTTGAACACACGCGTTGCTTTAGACTTAGGTTACTACAATTGTCTTGGAGCGATTTTGGCTTTTCCAACGACGGCTAATGATAGTTTACTGCCGGTCAGGACTACATAATAGTAGCCGGCGGCTGGATGCAGGAGAAAGGCTTTAAGGGCGGAAACAATACAAAGGATGTAAAATACAACCGTGTAAAGTAAGCAATACGAAATGTTTGATGTAAATTATTCTGGAATTGAAATTCAAATTCAAATTGAAATTTGGAAACGTCGATTTTCTAAAACATAAATTTGAAATACAATAGTCGAATAAAATAAAATTGAATCAAATAAATTTTTAAATTTTGTTCTTTATAAAATTACATTTTTTTCATTCAAACCTGGAAAAAATTTGGTTATGCAACCAACAAAACGCCATCTACACATAAAAATACTCAACATTTTCTATTTACAGTAGTATTATCAATTGTTTTAATTTAAATTCAAAAATTTTGTCCTTTTTGAAATGAAATTTTTCATTTTCGATTCAAATTCTAAACTTTTTCGCTCGCGTATTTCACTCCCGGTGATTTATGAAGATTCGCAGGCAAGCGACACGCTCTCGGTGCAGTTTATGCGCACTCCAAGATGTTCTATAACGGACCAACTGCCAACGTGCCAGCCCGATGGAAATACGCCCGGTTTGCCAGTATTGCAAGTATTTCCATAAACGTCTCCTTTTCGTTCCTCTTCGCTTTTGCGCTTGGTAATCTTTTTGCCGATTGCCTTTTGTGCCTAATCACAAATCGCAATTGAACCACTCATTGCCGTCGAGTGTAACCAAACGCGGCGCGGCCTAATCAAGACAATCGTCGGCGACTGAATCCGGACGCAAAATGGCGTATAATACGTTCATAAAGGGGCAACGCTCGTCGCTCCTAATAGGCTTGAGAGCTTTAATTGCGATTGAAAATCTCATGGGACATCACATGCAACGACACATCAACGAGGAAATATGCAGTTATAGGTTATAATGCAACCAAACATGCACTTAGACATTAAACACACGAGGACTTGCGCGATAATTTGGTATGTTTAGTTGCCTAATATAAACGTAGAATGTACTTATTTAGCGACGCGTGTGTTGTGCGCGAATCTCGGGGGAATTCATTTGAATTGTTGTCAATTGCGGTTCATTTTAAGTGATAATAACTTCTTATCGACGGTCACGGTGGATTTTCCGGTCGCAAATTGCGCTTGTAATGCTTTTAGGCGCTAATGCCGGTGCCTCGAGGATGGATATGGACTTTCGGATAGGCTTTTCGAAATATCGCCGCTCGGGTAACTGGTAGCAGGTTCGGAAAGACGTAATGCATTGAAATTTATGCGTTACGTGGTTCGATAACGCGTTCTATTATGATATATTATGCGGGAAAGCGGGAAAAGCGATTTATCTACGTTTAACATCTACGAGAATTTGTCATAACAAACTAGGTACTCCAAAAATTGCAATAGTGGCATAATTATGAACCAAAAATAACAAATATTTCAAGTATTCCTTTAAAAAAAACCATAAAAAATTCGATTTTGAGAAGACTTTATTCAAAATCAAACTTTTAGTTTTTTCTAAATAATTTCTATATGGTTCATTCAAATCAAAACAAGTTTAGTGTCATATTAAAGTGCTTTTCGATGCCTACAAAATGACACCTTGCTTGATATTTTGTGATTTATGACAAAAAAGTTATTAAGCAAAAATTTTGTAATTTTTTTCAAAAAGTCAAAAAATGAGGTTATTCAATCGATCAAAGCGCCATCTACACATATATTAGCACAGATTTCTTCTATCTACCTTAATATTACAATTGTTTAATCTGTAATTATTTAAACAATGTAACAAATTAATTATTTTTAAAGAAACTACTTTTTGTTTTTGTTTTTCTACTTTCTGAGTATTTCTGCGTGCGTGCAGATAACGTATGCAACATCCCGACTAATTGTACTA